TTAATCCACCTTAAAAGCAGCTACATGTTTGCAATTTAAATACGGCCTGACACAGAAAACAGTGGCCCCTCAGAAACACAACCTGCAAAGCACTGTGGCTTCTTCCATGTTCTGCATCTTTATCACGAATGATGATTTTTAAGTTCAGCTTTTGGGGTTTTTGTTGAATGTCGCTGACAAACAATAACAACGATCCAGAAATCACATGATCAGGATTCGACTGTTCTTCAGCTTTTAAAAGGTTAGTTTAACCGAAGGCCACTTGGTTTTGAAACTGGGATTCCCCCAGTGGGGAAGTGGAGAAGGGAAGTCAGCGCTGGCTTACTGTACAGTTAGCAGTCATAGCTGCGTTGTATTAAAGGTGAATAAAACATGTTCAGTGGTTTGGCTGCAGAGCGGTCATTCTCTCTGACGGTGCAAACACTGCTACGATGGATTAAAGCACACTGAAACACAAGTTGTTGCTTACATGGCAGCAGGAGGCCACACAGGAGTCTGTGGAGGAGACACTGGAGTCTGTGTGTGTGCTGGAGCTGCGGAGGCCGGCCTCCTCTGCCGCAGCTCTGGCGGGCTGGGAGTCTGGGCTGGTGTGGGCTGTGGACTGGAGGAATGTGGCTCTTTGGCCTGCAAAGGGAAGAAGAGTTTGATGTCATTTTTTTCTGCAAACTCCCCAAAACAAAATAAAACAAACAAAAAATCCCCAGCAAGAAACATCTGCTGAGACCTGTGTTATCAGATCTACCACATTTTGTTTCTGCAGCTTTGTTTCCGGCTTGGAAGTGTACTGATACTAACGCGCCAGCTTTAGTGTGTGGGCTGACTTCTGGTAGATAACAGCTGAAGCAGAACAGTTGCACTACACAGCGGGGCAACAATAAGGGTGGAGGTGAAGAAGCACATCTGCAGCGCTCTTTACCAGAGTGTCTTGAGGTTACTTACAAAACCTCACACTGATTTCTTGATTGGAATTTGTAATCATCAGAGCGCAAACTAACTCAGTCTGAAACTATCCTCGAAAATTCAACAAAACTTACAAAATATTTAGAAAAGCATTTGAAGTGCAAACTACACTGTTGCCTCAGGCAGGTATCATTTCTGAGACACGAGGATGGAACAGACCACACACAAGGACGCTGTGTGTGAAACTAGCCTGTATGCAAACGTGGGGACACGAGGGCGACATGAAGCCAGCTGCTTTGTTTACAGGAGCTCAGAATTCAAATACCTCACCAACAGGAGCTTCACTGTGAACGTGCAGGTCGTTATAAAGCCAGGAGGACTGAAACAGCGTGCTGATGTCAGAGAAAAGTCACTGGGTGTTACTTCTAAAGTGTTCTCACCTTGGGTCTGGCTCCCAGAGGTCCCTGGGCAGGACTCCTAACAGCACACACCAGGTGCAGTGTGGGAATTGAGTCCGTCTGTGGAAGTGGAG